TTAAGAAATCTGTCTTTATATTCGCTCATGTCTCTTACAGTAATATTATCTTAAGCCGCTTTCCCACAATGCACAATCTCTGTGTAAGGAAGTTGCGAATAGCCCTTGGGATCCAAATATCTTCTATAGCCAATTTTCCAAATGCACCTGTAATTCCTAATATGTTAAGAATGAAGCTCTATTTTTAGAAATAATGGAATCATTGTGTGGTGGGAGAGGGGAAGAAATCCCTTTCCACAAGTTCTATATACTACAAGGGCAATGTTTCCACTTTGTTTATCAAAATTACAAAATGTATCTGAATTTCTTTCTTTCTCCGACTTGAAAAGCAAGAGCCCGCCATCAAATATTACAATATGCATGTGTAATTGTTAGTTCTAATAGACAGCTTGCAAAAAAAAATCCTATGCCTGAGATATCAACTTTGTATCTAGTTACTAAACTCTGCATGCTTTGTGTATGAAAAAAATACTGCAATTGATATCTCATCTATAGGCAACTTAGAAATGATAGGTTTAGCTTTCCTTTTATAAATCTGACTAAATTAATCATGAGCCATTACATTATATTTCAATTTATTTTCTAATTCTGTTACGCTGTAGTATATCATTGAATTTAATCTCCTAAAAATACAACTTAGTTGACAATCCATGTAAACATTAACACCCCGCCTTTTTTTTTCAAGAGTTCTAAACTGGTCTTATGTATAAAATCTATTCTCATCAACAAAAATACTTGTTTTTGAAGGCACAGTGTGATGATCTACATTACAGCCAAGCAGAAAGAGAAAAGGCATATTGCAAAATCATCAATCCTTCCATCCTATGACATGGAAGGCTAAGAATAAATAATACATACAGAGTAATGTGGGGAAAGCTACTGTCAAATATACATGGCTTTCTGTATTCTTTAGAGGGCCAGGATTTCAGTGCAGTAAATATGCACAAGTTTCACATCTCACTCACACTTTCCCCCATTTCTACGATGCGTAAACCTACACTGAAACTGCTTGCACAAAATGAAGGCTGGATGTCATTTCTTTGAATTGAATTTACACAATCGCACAGAGATTAGCTCTTTTCATATCATAAAAAAGAAAATCCCTACATAGAAATGTTGTCCCTTGAAGAGGTAAATTCCAAGTGAGATATAAAACTTAAATTTGGATGTTTCTCTGGAAACAACAATGAATGCAGCTTAAGAAATATTTTGCAACATAGCCTAATGATCTTTTACCTCTATGTGAGTTAGTATAAAATTCAAACTTTAAAAAATGCCTAAAGCTAGCATCTGCTTAAACTGTCAAGAATTTAAGAGTTGGGAAATGTTAAAAAAATGAAACAAAATTTAAACCTATGTTTCCTCCATAACCAAATCTATTTTGCAAGAATTCAGGCCAGTACATTTTAAGCAGTGACAGCTTGGCTTAATCGTTTTTTTACAGTTCACTGTGATGACGTCCTGTGACAGTGTCTGCAAACTTGATTCTGGAGAACTATTTTCCCCTATAAATTTCTAGACAGGTCATTTGCTTCTTATTTTGCTACATTCATTTCTACTTTCCACAGAGATTCTTTTCAGAAAAAGGAGGAATTAAATGTATGACACAAAAAGGACTTTAGTCATTTCAAATGCACAAAACATTGCATTTATATTGCTTAGAGGAAGTGAAAATACTCTGAAGCCTATAACCAAACTATATAAGGACCAATGCCTTAGCATGAATGCTCATCTGAAGCTGAAGCTTTTGCGTGAATTAATTCAACAGGAACAGCAGTGAATGGCATCCTGTTCATGCAAAAACAGAATATTTCCTTAAGTCTACAAGTTTGGAGCCAAAAGTATTAAACATGGTTGCAGAGCTAATGATCCAGGTCAGTTCTGGGAGTTTAAATACCCATACAAGGCAAAGAGCTTCATTTGTGTTTGGCTTTGCTAATTTTCTATTTAAGAGCCTAAATTTATATTATATAACTTCCTACCATAATGGGGGGAAAACCTACTTCAGCACAATCATTTAACTATAACCAAATTCATTTCAATAATATATCGTTCATTTACTTTTAACAACAAAAAAGCCAGGAAATACAAACATTGACTTGGAGCCCCTTCATATCCTGTACTGCATACCCAATATACACTTCATAACAGAAAGAGGTACTATGATGAAGGAAAAGGAGGAAAGCAGAATCATCAAAGCCAGTCACTTCCTCCCAAAAGCTTAATTTTAAAATAAAGAATTCCAACACAAAATCAAAAAACTTCCTCTTCTTCAGGAATCCTTCTTCCTAACAAGAAAAGATTTATTACTGTAATTCCTACTATACTAGTCAATAATTATTCAGATCACTTCTTGCAGACATTCCAGTAAAGTAAAGGTAAAGGTTTCCCCTTGACATTAAGTCTAGTCGAATCCAACTCTGGGGAGTGGTGCTCATCTCCAGTTCTAAGCCAAAGAGCCGGCTTTGTCCGTAGACGCCACCTAGGTCATGTGGCCGGCATGACTGCATGGAACGCTGTTACCTATTGATCTACTCACATTTGTATGTTTTTGAACAGCAGATTGGCAGAAGCTGGGCCTAACAGCAGGAGCTCACCCTGCTCCTCAGATTTGAACCGCCAACTTATCGTTCAGTAAGTTCAGTAGTTCAGCAGTTTAACTAGCAGCGCCACCGGGGCTCTAACATTTCAGTTGTTTTATATTATCTTTCATCAATTCATTACAGACAAACATCAATATGCACTAAACGCCTTTATTTAGAAAACAAATGTGTCTAACCATATGCTAAGCATTTAACACAGAGATAAATTTCAATAGGAAACATATTTCCTTAACATAATTTTTACAAATAATCCTAATCACTGCTATTCTCAAAAGAAATACACAATATTTTCAAATGTGTCGTCTCTTACTTAAGAATAAAGGGAAGAAAATATTGCATTGGATCCATGTTTTGTTGTAAAGTAGATCCAGAGAAATACATAGAATAAATGACTAATTTCAAGTCATCAAAGACAGGAGAAAAATGATATAGTGCTAATATTACCACTCTCTGTAAGCTGTGTCACTGCCTATTGGATTTAGTATAAAAATCCAATGAACATTATTATGACTATATAACATAATACTGAGAATTTAATGAGCTCACATTTCCCCATTGTTCAGTGTTACACAAAACTATAGCTAACTTTGGTTAAAATGAGTCCAGGAATGCTTTTTCAAAATCTGGTTGTCAGATATGTGGCACCTTGTTAAGACCTAACTGAATTAAGGTGTACCTGTTCTAATATCAAATGCTTCCAAAATTCTTGCTCATATCTGTAGACTCACACTACCTGGTTATATTTTAGCTTTAAGTGTGGAAAATATAGTGACATACACTGTTAGAAATATTTACATTGGCTTGAAACATTTCTACATGTTTCACAAACAGTATTGGTTTCTGCCAGAAGAGGGTGCCCATACTCTATGAAATACATATCTGGTTTCTTGGCTTTTGAAAGGCACATTTCTCTAAATTAATGGAAACAGACATATTTACTTTATATTCTAATAAAATTCAGGTAGCCTTTGTAAACACGGGTCTTGCCTTTTTCTTCTCTGTATATTTGATTATCATGTAACCAATTTGTTTGTGTGTTCTTTCTAAAGGATTCATTCCAAGGAACCTTTATAGGTAAAGGTAAAGTTTTCCCCTGACATTAAGTCTACTATGCCCAACTCTGGAGGATGGTGTTCATCTCCATTTCTAAGCTGAAGAGCAGGCATTGTCCATAGACACCTCCTAGGTCATGTGGCCAGCATGACTGCATGGAGCGTCGTTACCTTCCTGCAGAAGTGGCACCTATTATCTACTCACATTTGCATGTTTTCAAACTGCTAGATTGGCAGAAGCTGGGCTAACAGTTGGAGCTCACCCCACTCTCTGGATTTGAACTCCCAACCTTTGTGTCAGCAAGTTCACCAGCTCATCGGTTTAACCCACTGCGCCACCATGGGGCTCCAAGGAATCTTGAGCAAACCTCAAATCCTTTCTGATGAGGTCCTTTGATACAATCTGTATTTCTTGATTTTTGAACAGTATTCCTCCCATGGCAGCCAAAATTATATGAGCAGGCAGAGGGGTACCTCTCACTGAACCATTTTTGATGAGGCATTCCAAATAGCCAGGCAATAGACTGCTTGATCACTGCTTTTTGTCAGTGAACAAGCAAGTTCAAAAAAGTTGCTAAAATGTTCAAGGCTGAACATAAAGGTCACAATGCACTTCCCAACTCCTGATAGGTGTCAACTGTTTGGATGCATCTCCACTGTAGGATGAATGCAGTTTGACAACACTTTACCTGCCATGATTGAATCCTTTACAAGGTCTTTAGCCTTTGCTCAAGAGTGCTCACCAAACTTATGACTTCCAAGATTCCACAACACTCAGCCATGGCAGTTAAAGTGGTGCTAAATGAAATTTATTCTACAGTGTAGATGTACTCTTTATTCTGAAGCAAGATGTTGCCTCTGCCACATTTCAACATCCACCACTATCCTATCACTTTTACTGTTCATTTTCTGTGATTTCAAGGTCAACTCCATCTCTACTGCCTTACTGCTCTGAATTTTGGCAACTTTCTTTCTCAAGGGAACTTCTGTGGTGTAAGCTGTTTTATCCCAACTATCACAAAAGATGTAACTGGGAAAACAGATTTCTTTAAAAACAAGTTGTAAAGGTATATCTTGCCAAATAAAAACACTTGCCATTAAGGTAAACTATCCATAAAATCATTGAGAGAAAGAAGATCCATTCCAATTAACTTTCAAAGTATAAACTATTTGAAAAACCCTTTGAATACACCATTCTGAATTTTTTGAATAAACCATTTTGAATTTTTCTGAATTTCTTCCCTAAGGGGACTTGTATGGTGTGAATCACTATTCATACAAAGCAAGGGGAATGAATCCCCTTTTCAAAACTTAGAAAGGAAAATGGTTATTATACAAAACCTACCCTGTAGCTATCTTTCTACAGTTTGTCAAGGCTTCATGTTCTCACATTCTGCAACTTTTCAGATGTCAATTCTGTGAAAAATAAAGGAACAATTGACAGCTGTCTTTTTTTACAGCAAATTTTACAAAATATCTAGCAAATAAACCTGTTTGTGCTTGTCAGATTCTCTCCCCTTAGAAAGGGTACTATGACTCCAAAATTCACCAAATTCTGTATGTAAGCCATTCATAAAGTAAACAAACTTGAGATTCAACCCACACTTTCACTGTATTGGAAAGAAAGAGTAGACAGACACTCATTACCAGCAGCAAATCTACACCAAAGATGCAAAGTGCTACCCACCATTTGTGACAGATTCAATCAACCCAATGGGAATGAACTCAAGAAAAGTTAGTATTTCTGTAAAAAATCAAAATCAATAAGACATCAATGCTATCTATTGGTCTCTGAAGCCCCTCAAAAAAGGATCACACTACTAAACAACAACTACCCAAATATCTTCTTTCACTGAATCCCCTTTATGGCAATCTTCAAGTTTACCTTTGTCTTCTTTCCCAAATACCCAAGCGCCAGCCTCCATTCGTTTGCAAATTTTTCATTATTTCCTCCTAGAATCATAGAATCAAAGAGTTGGAAGAGACCTCATGGGCCATCCAGTCCAACCCCCTGCCAAGAAGCAGGAATATTGCATTCAAATCACCCCTGACAAATGGCCATCCAGCCTCTGCTTATGCTATTTGTCAGCTTGGCCATTTGGATATAATCTACTAATTTATCTCTCCAATCTTTAATAGATAACTCTTTTTCCCCTTTCCAAGTTTTGGCTATTATTCGTCTTGCTGCAACAAAGCAATATTGACAAATTTCTTCATCTCCTGCACTGATACGCATTCTAAATAGTCCTAATAGGCACATTTCCAGGTTTTTCTTGACCTTTTTGTTAATCATATTGTCTGTTACTGTGGGGGACAGTAATAACAACAACAACTTTATTCTTATATCCCACCACCATCTCCCCAAAGCGACTCCGGGCAACTTACATGGGGACCAAGCCGAACTGCTCTGAGATGGCCTTTTCCAACGGCTGCTGCTGACTAGCATTCTACTGAAGGTCTGATTCCATTGGGTGCCTATGGTCTCACACAAACCCGACCACAGTCAAGAGCAATGAGTGCAGCAACCTGACTGGCAAATTCCCTGAGCTGTGCTTCACTCAGCCTTCCCTCCCACTGCCCAGCATCGACCTAGAGAGGTTGGTGCAGCAGAGCCACTCTACCATCACCACAATTTCCTGTTACCATGCCGTGACCTCGCCACTAGCTAGCCATAGCCCAAAGTTACTTCAAGTCACTGATACCTTATAGCACAGCAGTACTGGGAATTTTACCCATAAGCCACCACCCCCCCCCCCTCCTTTGACCATAAACTTAGTACTGAAACCAGGCTTGGTTTGGCTTGAGGCCGCAGACTCAACCTTCGACTCTGTTCCTCCTGAGCTTTAGTTGGGACTCAAGGCCAACCTTAAAAACTGTGGCATAGACACTCAGAACTGGGAAGCCCCGGCTCTTGAGCGCTCTAGCTGGAGGTCAGCTGTGACCAGCAGTGCTGTAGAATTTGAAGAGGCATGAATGGAGGACAAAAGAGAGAAACATGCCAAGAGAAAGGCGCATCAAGTCAACCCCGACCAGGACCGCCTTTCACCTGGAAACTGATGCCCTCACTGTGGGGGAAGATGCAGATCAAGAATAGGGCTCCACAGTCACCTACGTACCCACTGCCAGGACACCGATCTTGGAGGACAATCTTACTCAGACATCAAGGGATCACCTAAGTAAGTAAGTAAGTTGAGACTTTTGCTTTAGTTTTTGTTTTGTTTTCAGATTTTATTTTTATTTATTTATTTTGTGGAGACTTCTTTTAATTTTCTTGCTGGCTCATGTTTATCATTGGTAACTGAACTTAGCGAAATATACTATTTGATTGATAAGTCTCCACAATAATTGTAATTGGTTTTAAATTGTACTGTCTGTCTTTGTTAATTGTGTAACAGCATTGAATGTTTGCCATATATATATATATATATATTCTGTAGTCCGCTCTGAGTCCCCTCGGGGAGATAGAGCGGAATATAAATAAAGTATTATTATAGACAAAATTACAAAGAAAACACAATTAAAAACATATTTAAAACAGTACCTACTATGACTGAGGCCCTTTCTGCATTGCCTTATAAAATTCAGATTATCTGCTTCAAAATAGATTATATGACAATGTAGACTCATATAATCCAGTGTAGATGGGGCATATTCATCTGTTCATTCTCTCAGTAATAATTAAAGCAGTCTTGTGAACCTTGTGACCTTACTATCATTACCATTATATTACAGCTGGGGATCCAAGGTTGAGGTCTAGTAACTTTCCAAAGGCTATAAAGTAAGCCTGTGAAAAATTAGCAGCCAACAACCCAATTTACAACACACAATCTCTGTAATACACCAAGTATCAAACCAACAGAGTAAATGCTCATCATAACAGCACTCCACTGAATTCAACTGAGAGAGTACGCTGGCAATGCTGCCCTAGCAAAGGAAAAACCACTCTGGCACGGAGAAAGGGGCGGAGAAAGGGGCGGAGAGAGAGGCGCAGTCTCATGACGTCAGGGACGTGCTGGCAAGGTTTGCTCCCACAGGAGCCTAGTTTGCAGCGGCTCTTAAGTATCTTGTAGGCAACAGTTTCCAAACATATGTATTAATGGGATATGCTTTCTTCTGGATGGGAATGGGACTTCAAAATCTGCAATCACTCCCTAATTATGACTGACAAAAGAGACATTGCACAACATAATTAAAATACATAATTAAAATGCATAATAAATTACGGCTCTTCCATTTTCCTAATTTACAGGTCATGCAATTCAGCCTTTCTCTCAGAAATTAGATTGCATTGAGAGAGTTGGTTCTTTTCTTTTTTAAAAAAAAGCATGTCCAGATTGAAGGGAACTAATAGAGCAAATCTTTTGATTTGCTAACTAGGAACTAGCAAAGGCTGTTCCTTTGCTGAATGGAAGCATGTGGTGGTGATTTGAGAACATCAGAGGAAAAGGACTATCATTCCTATCACCACCCAGGCAGAAAGAGGCCCTTTTTTTGAGGAGCCACTTCAAAGGTGAAGAAAGGGCAAAAAAAGATCAAGTACATTTGATCACACCTTTTTTGCAACATGTGCATTTTGACCTTTAAGAGAAAGTCCTTACAATATTCCCAGTTTTCCAAGATCGATCTAGCTAGCATCTTGCCTGTATTTTCCCCACAAGACATCATCATGCCTCCTTGTCCCCAATCATTTTAACATTTATATAAGTACTTCTAGTGCAAAACAGATAGGAATTTCCACCACTGACATTTTTTCAGTTAAACTCAAGGATATCATAGCAGTCTATCAACATAGAGCATCAAATGATTCACAGTATTGATCTGGAGTCAGTTAAAGGGAATAATCTGTTCCTTTTGTTTAGCACTAAAATCATGCAATACTAGCAGTGGATAAGAAGACAAGTTTTAAATAGCGTTTTTATACAAACTAAAATTACTCCTACAATGGGTGTTGCCTTCCGACAATTGGTTTGCTATTTCAAGGGAATAGGGCAAAAAAACTCAAAATGCAGTACAACCCTGTATCTGCTGGGGACACATCCCAAACCTTATGTTGATATGCAAAATTGTGAATTATAGCAAATCCTATTGAACTGAAAGACTTCTAGTCAAGAATATTATAGCATAGTCTCATGCCAGAGGATCTAGAAAATGCCTAGAGTGGACATATTTTGATGGATGTGGATAAATGAAACCGTGGATACTGAACCCATGGATATGGGCTTGTACTGTACTCATAACTCATGTCGTTGTCAACACACTTCAATTATCTAGTAGCTACTATTCAATGTTCTCTTCCACACACATGCACATCGAAATTGTTGTTGTTTATTCATTCAGTCGCTTCCAAATCTTTGTGACCTTATGGACCAGCCCACGGCAGACCCTATGGGCCGTCACTACCCCAGCTCCAAGGTCAAGCCAGTCACTTCAAGGATACCATCCATCCATCTGGCCCTTGGTTGGCCTTTCTTCCTTTTTCCTTCCTTTTTCTCCCAGCATCATTATCTTCTCCAGGCTTTCCTGTCTCATTATGTGGCCAAAGTAATTCATCTTTGCAAAGATGAGCAGTTGGGCATTATTTCCTGGAGTATGGACTGGCTGGATCTTCTTGCTGTTTAAGGCACTCTCAGAATTTAACTCCAGCACCACAGTTCAAAAGTGTCTATCTATCTTCCTTCGCTCAGTCTTCCTTATGGTCCAGTTCTTGCATCCACAGGTTACTATGGAGAATACCATTGCTTTAACTATGTGGACCTTCGTTGCCAGTGTGATGTCTCTACTCTTTAAAATACATACACATTGAAATATATATACAATGTTTACTAGTCATTCATTTGTCAGCAAAAGTATATTTTAATATCTCCCTTAACTGGGAGACATGTACTTCCCTGACCACCGGCCATTCAGGGTACAGAAATTGCAGTAGGGGAGGAGGAAAAGGAAAGTCCCTTCCATGTATTTCCTTAAGACCCAGATAATTTGTACTTAATAATTTCCCCTTTCCCTAGACTAGGATCACATTAAGCTCTTCTCACATTTCAGTGTTGCTAATTGTACTCCTTTTCTTCAGTCAGAGAAGTCAACATCAAGATAACTGTTGATATCATATCAGTAATTACTATAATCCAATGAGTCATGCTTCTATTAAAAAGGGAGTAGCAACTCCCAAAGCACTTTAAGATTAGAGATCAGTTTCTTTATTTCCAAGTGGCAGATCAATAGTTTATAGGGCCACTAGGCTCAGATTTCCTGAAGTTTAATGCCATGAAGCCACACTAGGAGCTATTTACATTTTTAGAACACACACAAATCAGACAACAAAGTATACCAAAATATTCTACACATGAGAAAAGAGATTTTGAGTTCAACAAAAAGCAAGTGAGGCAATTTTTATCTACTACAAATTTTATGTAAAA